AATTTCAGGGGGCGTTTTTTTTTTTTTTTTAACGCCCGTTTTAAAACAAAAAAGGGCAAAAAAAAAAAAAAAAAAAAATTTTTTTTTTTAAAAACGGGAAAACGAAAAATTTTTATTATTTTTTTTTTTTTAAAATTTTTAAAAAAAATTGGCGGGTTTTTTTTTTTTTAATTTTTTTTTGAAAACGATTTCAAACGATTTTTTTTAAAAAAAAGGGGGGGGGGGGGGGGGGGGGGGGGGGGGGGGGGGGGGGGGGGGGGGGGGGGGGGGGGGGGGGGGCCCCCCCCCCCCCCCCCCCCCCCCCCCCCCCCCCCCCCCCCCCCCCCCCCCCCCCCCCCCCTAAAAAAAAAAAAATTTTTTTTGGTTTTTTTTTTTATTTTTTAAGCAAAAAAAAAGCAAACCGTTTTGAGTTTAAATCTGCTTTTTAAACCCGGTAAAAGAAAAAACGACAAAATTTTTTTATTATTCTTTTTATTAATATTGCCTATTTGAACGATTTCAACGATCAAAAAATGCTTGAAAATGCTTATTTTAGCAAAACAGCACGTTTTGATTTTAATTGCGTTTAACGCGTAAAACAGCAAAAAAAAGACAAAATTTTTTATTATTCTTTTTTTATTAATTTTGGGTCTATTTAAGGGATTTCAACGATTAAAATTTTTTGAAAATGTTATTTTAGCAAAAGCACTTTTTTTGAGTTTTAATCGCGTTTTAACGCGTAAAACAGCATAAAACGACAAAATTTTTTATTATTTTTTTTATTAATATTGCGTCTATTTGAACGATTTCAACGATCTAAAATGCTTGAAAATGCTTATTTTGCAAAAAGACGTTTTGAGTTTTAATCTGCGTTTTAACGCGAAAACAGCATAAAAACCAAAAATTTTTATTATTCGTTTTTTTTTTTTGGGTTTTTTGAACGATTTCAACGATCTAAAATGCTTGAAAATGCTTTTTTTAACAAAACAGCACGTTTTGAGTTTTAATCTGCGTTTAACCCAAAACAGCATAAAAACGACAAAATTTTTTTATTATTCGTTTTTATTTTTATTCTATTTGAACGATTTCAAGATCAAAAATGTTTGAAAATGCTTTTTTTAGAAAAAAACAGCACGTTTTAGTTTTAATTGCTTTTTAACGCGAAAAACAGCATAAAACGACGTTTTTTATTATTCTTTTTTAAAATTTATTGCGTTTTTGAACGGATTTCAACATCTAAAAGCTTAAAAATGTTTTTATTTTAGCAAAAAAACTTTTTGAGTTTAATCTGCGTTTTAACGCGTAAACAGCATAAAAACGACGAATTTTTATTTTTCGTTTTTATTAATATTGCTCTATTTGAACGATTTCAACGATCTAAAATGCTTGAAAATGCTTTTTTTTTGAAAAACAAGTTTTGAGTTTTATTCTGCGTTTTAACGCGTAAAACGTTAAAAAACGACGAAATTTTATTATTTTTTTTTTTATTGCCTTTTGAACGATTTCAACGATCTAAAATGCTTGGCATTTTGCAAAACAGCACGTTTTGAGCTTTAACGCGTTTTAACGCGTAAAACAGCATAAAAGACGAATTTTTATTATTCGTTTTTTTAATATTGCTTCTTTTTAACGATTTCAACGATCAAAAAATGGAAAAGCTTATTTTAAAGCAAAAACAGCACTTTTTGGTTTTAAATCGCTTTTTAACGCGTAAAACAGCAAAAAAACGACGAATTTTTTTATTTTTTTTTTAAATATTGCGTCTATTTAACGTTTTAACATCTAAAATGTTTGAAAATGCTTATTTTGCAAAACAGCATTTTTTATTTTATTCTGCGTTTTAACGCGAAAAAGCAAAAAAACGAGTTTTTTTTATTATTCGTTTTTATTAATATTGCTCTATTTGAACGATTTCAACGATCTAAAATGTTTGAAAATGTTATTTTCAAAAAGACGTTTTGAGCTTTAATCGTTTTTAACCGAAAAAACAGCAAAAAAAACGACAAAATTTTTATTATTCGTTTTTTTAATATTGTTTAAACGATTTCAACGATCAAAAATGCTTTGCATTTTAGAAAAAACAGCACGTTTTGAGTTTTAATCTGCGTTTTACCGCGTAAAACAGCATAAAAACGACGAATTTTTTATTATTCGTTTTTATTAATATTGCTCTATTTGAACGATTTCCAACGACCCCAAATGCTTGAAAATGCTTTATTTCAGCAAAACAGCACAAATGCGTTTTGAGCTTTATCTTCCTGCGTTTTAACGCGTAAACAGCATAAAAACGACGAAATTTTTATTATCTGTTTTGCCAATATTATGTCTATTTGAACGATTTCGCCCATCGTAAAATGCTTGAAAAATGCTTATTTTAGCAAACAGCCGCTTTTGTTTTAAATCGCTTTAACGCGTAAAACAGCATAAAAATGACGAATTTTATTATTCGTTTTTATTAATATTGCCTCTATTAAACGATTTCAACGATCGTTTAAAAATGTTTATTATTTTAGCAAAACAGCACGTTTTGAGCTTTAATCTGCGTTTTAACGCGCGTAGAACAGCAATAATAAAACGACGAAATTTTTATTATCTGCTTTTTATATTAATATTGCGTCTATTTGAACGATTTCCAACGATCTAAAATGCTTGAAAATGCTTTTATTTTGTGCAAAACAGCACGTTTTTGAGTTTTTAATCTGCGTTTTAACGGCAAGGCGTAAAACAGCAAGCAAAAACCCGGCGAATTTTTTAGTTATTCGTTTTTATTAATATTGCTTCTATTTGAAACGATTTCCCAACGATCTGTACCGCTTGAAAAATGCTTGGCCAACAAAACAGCACGTTTAGTTTCTAATCTGCGTTTTAACTCGTAAAACAGCATAAAACGACGATTTTGATTATTCGTTTTTATTACTACCATTGACTTACGGAACGATTTCAACGATCTAAAATTTCGCTTAAAAATGCTTATTTTAAAGCAAAACAGCACGTTTTGAGCTGGGTAATCTGCGTTTTAACGCGTAAAACAGCATACATAAAACCACGAATTTTTATTATTCGTTTTATTAATATTGCGCCCGGCACTGAACGATTTCAACGGATCTAAAATGCTTGAAAATGCTTATTTTAGCAAAAAACAGCACGTTTTGAGCTTTAACGCGTTTTAACGCGCGCGTAAAACAGCATAAAAACGACGAAATTTTTATTATTCGTTTTATTAATATTGCGTCTATTTGAACGATTTCAACGATCTAAATGCTTGAAAATGCTTATTTTAGCAAAACAGCACGTTTTGAGCTTTATTCTGCGTTTTAACGCGTAAAAACAGCATAAAAACGACGAAATTTTTATTATTCGTTTTTTATTTTATTGCGTCTATTTGAACGATTTCACCCGATCTAAAATGCTTGAAAATGCTACTTAAGCAAAACAGCACGTTTTGAGCTTTAATCTGCGTTTCAACGTTTTTCCAAAACAGCATAAAACGCATTTAAAATTTTATTATTCGTTTTATTAATATTGCTTCTTATTTCGGAAACGATTTCAACGCATCCAAAAATGCTGAAATGCTTATTTTAGCAAAACAGCATCGCCGCTTTAATCTGCGTTTTAACGCGTAAAACAGCATAAAAAACGACGAATTTTTATTATTCGCTTTTTATTAATATTGCGTCTATTTGAACGTGGCATTTCCAACTATCTAAAATGCTTGCGTAAATGTTTATTTTAGCAAAACAGCACGTTTTGAGTTTCTATTCTGCGTTTTAACGCGGGGAAAAACAGCATAAAAACGTGACGAATTTTATTATTCGTTTTATTAATATTGCGTCTATTTGAACGATTTCAACGATCTAAAAATGCCGCTGGAAAATGCTTTTATTTTAGCAAAACAGCACGTTTTGAGTTTTAATCTGCGTTTTAACGCGTAAAAACAGCATAAAACGACGCAGAAATTTTATTATTATTCGTTTTTTAATATTGCTTCTATTTGAACGATTTCAACGATCTAAAATGCTTGAAAATGCCATTTTAGCAAAACAGCACGTTTTGAGCTTTTAATCTGCGTTTTAACGCGTAAAACAGCATAAAATGACGAATTTTTATTATTCGTTTTATTAATATTGCGTCTATTTGAACGATTTCAAACGACAAAATGCTGGAAAATGCTTATTTTAGCAAAAACAGCATCGTTTTGAGCTTATCTCTGCGTTTTAACGCGCAAAAACAGCATAAAAACGACGAATTTTTTATTATTCGTTTTTTCTTAATATTGCGTCTATTTGAACGATTACAACGATCTTAAAAATGCTGAAAATGCTTATATTTTGGCAAAACAGCACGTTTTGAGTTTATTCTGCGTTTTAACGCGTAAAACAGCATAAAAACGACGAATTTTTATTATCTGTTTTATTAATATTGCGTCTATTTGAACGATTTCAACGATCTAAAAATGCTTGAAAATGTTTATTTTAGCAAAACAGCACGTTTTGAGCTTGACCCGCGTTTTAACGCGAAACAGCATAAAACGACGAAATTTTATTATTCGTTTTTTAATATTGCTTCTATTTGAACGATTTCAACGATCTAAAATGCTTGAAAATGCTTATTTTTAGCAAAACAGCACGTTTTGTTTTAATCTGCGTTTAACGCGTAAAACAGCATAAAACGACGAATTTTTATTCGTTTTATTAATATTGCGTCTATTTGAACGCATTTCCAACGATCTAAAAATGCTTGAAAATGCTTATTTTAGCAAAACAGTTAATGTTTTGAGCTTTATTCTGCGTTTTAACGCGTAAAACAGCATAAAAACGACGAATTTTTTTATTATTCGTTTTTATTAATATTGCGTCTATTTGAATGATTACAACGATCTAAAATGCTTGAAAATGCTTATTTAGCAAAACAGCACGTTTTGAGTTTTAATCTGCGTTTTAACGCGTAAAACAGCATAAAAACGACGAAATTTTTATTATTCGTTTTTTTTTTTTAATATTGCTTCTATTTGAACGATTTCAACGATCTAAAATGCTTGAAATGTTTATTTTGTGCAAAACAGCACGTTTTGAGTTTTAATCTGCGCTTTAACGCGCGTAAAACAGCATAAAACGACGACGAATTTTTTATTATTCGTTTTGCCAATATTGCTTCATTTGAAACGATTTCAACGATCTAAAAATGTTTGAAAATGCTTATTTTAACAAAACAGCACGTTTTGAGCTTTAATCTGCGTTTTAACTTCCGCAAAACAGCATAAAAAAACGTGACGAAATTTTTATTATTCGTTTTTATTATCATTGCGCCCTTATTTAAACGATTTCCAACGATCTAAAATGCTTGAAAATGCTTATTTTGTTGCAAAACAGCACGTTTTGAGCTTTATTCTGCGTTTA